ACTGATTTCTAGGTTACTTCTGTTATGAAGAATTTATTATATGATTTAAATTCTTCTAAAATTGTTAACATATGCTTTACATATTGGAATATGGTCTATACTGGAATGTTCCATGAGTACTGGAAAAAAATGTTTACTCTGCTATTATGGGATGGAGCATTCTATAAATGTTAATTAGATGAAGTTAGTGGATAGTGTCTTTCAAGACTTCTGTATCCCTCTGGTTTTTTGTCTACTCCCATTGATTTTTGAGAGAGGAGCACTGAAGTCTCCAAAATTAACTGTGGGTATGTCTAATTCACCTTTTAATTCTCTCAGTTTTTGCTTCAGGTAATTTCAAGTGTTGTTGTTAAATGCATACACATTTAGAAATGCTATGTCTTATTGTTTAATTTCACCCTTTATTATTACATAATGTCCTCTTTTTTCCTGGTAGTCTTCCTTGATCTGAAGTCTGTTTGTTTGATATTAATATAGTCACTCCAGCTTTCTTTTAATTAGTGTTGGCATAGTGTATCTTTTTTGCATTCTTTTGCTTTTATTCTACATTTTTCTTAATACTTAAATGGTTTCATCTAGACAAAGTAAAGTTGGATCTTGCTTTTTATCTGCTAAAGACTGAATGTTTGTGTCCCTTATAAATTCATAGATTAAAATCCTAAACTTCAGTGTGATGGTATTAGGAGGTGAGCCTTTGGTAGGCTCTGCCCTCATGAATGGGATTAGTGCCCTTATAGAAGAGACTCCAGAGAGCTCATTCACCTCTTCTGCCATATGCTAGCTTTCTATGAGCTGGGAACTGTGCTCTCTCTCTCACCACACACCAAATCTGACAGAGTCTTGGTCTTGAACTCCCAGTCTCCCCAACTGTGAAAAACAAATTTTTGTCATTTATAAGCCATCCAGTCTATGGTATTTTGTTATAGCAGCCTAAACAGACTAAGACATTATCCAATCTGACAATCTCTTTTAATTAGTGTATTTAAACCATTTTATAAAGTGTAAATATTGATATAGTTTAACTGAAATCTACCATCTTGCTATTTGTTTTCCATTTATTCCATCTGTTCTTTGTTCTTTCTTGTCTCCTTTTCTTGGCTTAATTTTGATTGAGTACTTTACATAATTCTATTTTATCTCCATGATTAGCTTATTATATATAACTTTTTAAAAAAATTTAGTGGTTGCTCCAGAGTTTTCCATGTACGCCATTAATAACAATGTACTTTCAAATATTAGGCTGCTTCATTTAGAGTGCAATTCTTAAAACAGCACATTGTCAACTCCCCGCTCCCATCTTTTGTGCTATTGATGTCATCCATTTTACATTTACATATGTTATAAACCCCTAATGCATTGCTACTAGCTTTCTTTCAACATTTAATTATCTTCTAGATCATGTAAAAGTAAGGAAAAATGTATAGTTGACCTTTGAACAATTAATATCAAACAAACAATGCATGGGTCCACTTATACACATATTTTTTTAAATAAATATAGTACTATAATGTATTTTCCTTTCAATTTTTTAACATTTTCTTTTCTCTAGCTTATTTTATCACAAGAATACAGCATATAATACACAACATATAAAGTATGTGTTAATTGACTAAACACGTTGTCAGTAAGTCTTCTGGTCAACAGTAGTCTATCAGTAGTTAAGTTTTGGGGGATTCAAAAGTTACATGTGGATTTCTGACTGCACAGGGGGTCAGCACTCCTACCCTCTGCATTGTTTAAGGATCAACTGTATTTTATAATTATCTTCATTTTAACTATTCCTGGAGTTGTTCATTTGCAAGTATTTGTGTAGATTCCAGTTTCTGTCTAGTATCATATTCCTTTTTCCTAAAGACTTTTTTTTTTGTTTGTTTTAAATTTCTTGTGGTACAGGTCTGCTAATATTAATTAATTAACCTATCCTTTAGTCTCAAAAACTTTATTTCACCATCATTTTAAAAAGGTCTTTCTAGCATTTCTATTTGACTCTTCCCCATAGCTTTCATCTTTATGCTAAATTCCATATCTGTTTAGGCCTATTGCCTACATTTTCTACTAGAAGTTATAACTTATTATTTATTAATGATAGGTGTTTAAAATTTCCTACGTGATATTTCCAATGTTTGTGTCACTTCTGAGTCTAGTTCTGTTATTTGATTTGTCTCTTGATGGTGGGTTCTTTTTTCTCATTTGTGCCTTATGTATATTTATTTTTTAACTGAATACCAGTCATTGTGTATGGCACAAGTAGGGACTGAGGCAAATAATAGTTGTGCTGGGAAATGGGTATGCCTCTTCTGTTAGATCAATAGTGTGGGAGGCTGAGTCAATCTACTGAGTCTTCGAGCTTTGGTTTGAGTTTTATTGTTGCTATTGTTTCCTTCAGGGTTATCTTGGGAGCTGTGTTTCCAGAAGGTTTTTCTTCAATGTTCTTGCTCCACTCTCAGCCTTCAGCCTTTTCTTTGTCCTTGCATCTCATGGTGGGAGTCAACCTTTTTCTCAGGGACAGAAATTTGTTGCCTGTTACTTGGTATCTTCTAAACTTATTATAGCAGTGATAGTGGGCTTCTCTGTTGTCCTGCTCAGGCCTCATTCTTAGGCAGGCCTTGTGTCCCTTGGCCTTGGAATGAAGCTTTGTCAGGGATCCTGCCTCTCATGGTTTTTTTGTTTGTTTTTTTCTTATTTCATAAATATATGTATATCTAAGGGGCTTAAAAAAATGATTCTTCAGAATGATTCCTTGTTTTTCTGGACAACTGAGTCTTTTCATAGTTCTGATAACTTTTATAATTTAAAAGAAAACTCTGCCTTTATACTACTGCAATGATATCTTTTTCCTGGTACTCTAAGAATCTGATTTTCTGAGTTCTCCCCATATCACAAAGGCTAATCATCTATAATCTACATACCCCAGACTCACTTTCCTATAGGGAATTGTAGGCTGGAGTCTAGAACAGGCCCACAGCATTATATATATATAAAATGTTGGCCAATAACTGATTTTGTGCTACAATGGAAGACGTGAATATTTGAGACAGAGACGATATAGCCCGCAAGCCCACAAAACCTAATATCTACTATCTGGCCCTTTATAGAGCAAGATTGCTTATTCTGGTCTAGAAGTTGTAGAGTGTAGAAATTGTAGCAATTGTAGGCCCCAGGGTCTAGAAAGGTAGAGTGGTTCTGAAGTGGCAATTAGGAGACATCTAGTTCGGAGAACAATGTAGAATAAATCTGCTCCACACTCTTCTTTATCTTTAAATGAAAGTTTTCCCATTCATTCACTCATTTGTCTTATGACATGGTTCCTACCACCTCAGTCACAAGTACCCAGAGTTCATTACAAAATGTGGCTTTAAATTTAATCATTCCAGTAATATATTCCATTAAAACATATGTAATATATATTTTTAAAGATTTTATTTATTTATTTGACAGAGAGAGACACAGCGAGAGAGGGAACACAAGCAGGGGGAGTGGGAGAGGGAGAAGCAGGCTTTCCGTGGAGCAGGGAGCCCGATGTGGGGCTGGATCCCAGGACCCTGGGATCATGACCTGAGCCAAAGGCAGACGCTTAACGACTGAGCCACCCAGGCGCCCCAAAACATATGTAATAGTTTAAAAACCCTGCCAATACTTTCCTTATAGATCTACTTCTTTAAAATGCAGAAGCCTGGGTATAGTCTGACCAAAATTTCCAGTTTGGAAATAATGTCACAGGTTTTTTTCCTATACATGTTGGAAGGCAGCAAGACGCAGAGTTCTCATTCTTGCCTAAAACCTCTCATGCCAATTTATTTCAGCTTGCTTTTCTGACAACTGGCAGAAATGGCTTGCCTGTGAATTTTCTTTTAATGTATCAATGTCCAACAAAAATATCAACAGATTTAGGTTTCAAATAATGATCTCCTTTAACAGGCAGAAGTTAATACTTTTTTTTTTAACTGGATTGGAAATATATACTGTAATTCCATTTTTCTTTCATCAATTAAAAAGAATTCAGGGTTTTAGCCAAAGCAGGCTTTCAAGCATAACTTATGTTTATGTTCCACTTAGTTCCACCCTTTGAGCAACAGCATATGAAAAACTGCTTCAAGTAATAGTTTCTCTGAGCCGAAACCTTATTTACTCCTTAACAACTTAAATAGACATAGTACATATATATCTATATACACCCATGTGTAAATATGTATGTATATGTTTATGTTTTATATGAATACATACTTTTCTATCAATTTAAACTACAGATGGTTCATGATGTAATGCTTTAAATGTAGACCAAACAAACTGAAAACTTTAAGAATAATCTTATAATTTATATTTGGTTAATATTATATGAGTTTGTGTTTACTTTTGTCATATTCCAAAGTTGGGCTTTCTTGAATTTCCTTTACTTTTCTATAAGTATAACAACCTCCTGTCTCCTTTCTTTCACTTAACCTATCTAAGGGTGAAAGAGTATATGTAATGATAGGCAGTTTAATTTCATCTCTATCTCTAGGTTTTACATAGGAGTCTGATATTATATACTGTCCTACCATAGGACTGTCTATTCTCACTCCAACTCAAAAGATAATGAAACCAATGCCAGGTTTCAAAGCCAAAGACAGGAACTCAGAGGGGAGCCTGGTGGCTCAGTCGTTAAGCGTCTGCCTTCTGCTCAGGTCATGATCTCAGGGTCCTGGAATCGAGCCTTGTATCAGGCTCCCTGCTCCGTGGGAAACCTGCTTCTCCCTCTCCCACTCCCCCTGCTTGTGTTCCCTCTCTCACTGTGCCTCTGTCAAATAAATAAATAAAATCTTAAAAAAAAAAAAAGATAGGAATTTAGAAGAGTCAGTTTGCAAAGTCAAGAACAGGAACATTAAAGGCCAAAGTCAAAAGAAATATTTGAGGAAAACAAATAATCAAGAAATCTTAGAATAAGAGTTAAACTACTAATTTTTACAATTACTGAATTTAAGAATAGGTTGTATGCTTACATCATTTTATTGCCATACCTGAGCTTTGTGCAGTGGCAGTATCGTAGCCAATGAGGTTTAACCAAGGCGTGATTATTGTTAATTATTGCCATACCTGATATGCAGAAAACTCCCCTCTCCTCCAAAGAGATCTATGTTATAATTCCTGGAACCTATGAATATGTTACCTTACACGGCAAAAGGGATTTTAGATGTAATTAATGTATGAAATTTAAGATGGCAAGATTTTCCAGGACTATCCTGGTGTGTCTAAGCTAATTACAAAGGTCCTTTAAAAAGAGGAAGGCAGGAGAGAGTCAGAGGAAGTTGGTACTATAGAAGAACAGTCAAAGAAATGCAACACTACTGGCTTTGAAGATGAAGGGGGACCATGAATAAAAAAAATGTTGACAGCCTCTAGAAGCTGGAAAAGAAAAAAAAAAAGATTCTCCCCTAGAGTTTCCAGAAAGGAATGCAGCCCTATTGTTACCTTGATATTAATCCAGTGAGATGCATGGCAGACTTCTGACCTACAGAATTGTAAGATAATAAATTTGTATTGTTTGAGCTATAAAGTTTGTGGTGATTTGTTACTGCAATAGAAATTCATCCATTATAGTTATCACAGTTATTTATATTCTACTGGTTTTGTTGTTCACTAATATTTTTTTTAATACCTTTTTTCCCTATTCCTATGTTTTCTACTTTGGTTAAATCTTAATCTAGAAAACTAATTATATGAGAAAAAAATTTTTTTTCAATAAGGACGTATGTGGGATTTTCTAGATCCTTCCATCTATGAGCGTAACTTCTAATTACCCTTGCTCATACACAACAATTTGGCAGTATAGAATGCTTGGGTGACAATCTTTTATTCCCTTCACCCTCTAGATTTTTATTAATAAAATTTTCCTTTAGTTCTCTCTCTCTCTCTTTCTTTGCTAGACTATACTTTTTTTATAGGAAATCTTTGTTTCCTATCTATGATTTTTCTCTTATATCTGTGCAGATCTTTTTGTATTTCTCCTCTCTAGATCTTTTGCCCTCTTCAGACACAAATCTTTGTGTTTTTTTAAGATTTATTTATCTGAGAGAGAGAGAACACACGAGTGGGAGGAAGAGGGGCAGAGAAAGAGGGAGAGAGAATCTGAAGAAGACTCCACACAGAGCAGAGCATGGAGCCTGATGTGGGGCTTGATCTCATGATCCTGAGATCATGACCTGAGCTGAAACCAAGAGTCAGACGCTTAACCAACTGCACCACCCAGGTGCCCCAGATACAAATTGTTTTTTAAGACATTTTTTCTTCTCATTATTTGCTTTCTACTCCTTGGATGCCTATTATTTGTATGTTGCATCTCCCAGATCTGTTCTTCACATCTCTTATTCTTTCTCTCATTATTTTACTTCTTTTCCAAGATCTTGATTTAATTAACAGATTTAATTTTTAAAAATCTATTATGCTCTGCCTCCATAGCACTTTTTAATTTAAAAAACTTGTTATTTCTTTAAATGCATTTAGACCTTTCAGATCTTGGATTATCCTAATTTTATGTTTGTGTCCTCCAACTTTATAAGTATAGCATCCTTTACAGAACACGGGTTAGAGATTTTCCAAACTTTAGCTTTCTTCATTCTCTCATTTGCTCTGATTCCTCAGAGTAGATACAACCTCTTGAATTCAGTGATGTTCCTCTGTTTTCTCAACCTAAATTCAAATTCTAACTCTGCTTCTCTCTTGATGTAAGTTTGGGCAAGTTACTAGTTCTCTCCAAACTCAGATTCCTTATTTATAAAATATTCCTATAATGGCATCTACCTTAATAGAACTGTAATGATTAACTAAATACAAGAGAAAGCTTAACATAGTGCCATGTACATGGTAATTGCTCAGTGAGTGGTAGTTGCCATTATCATCATTGCTTTCATTGCCATCATAACCACCATCATTATCATCACTATAGAACAAGTTCTATTATTGTCTAGGCAGGAGCAGAGGTTGGTATTGTAAGAGTGCTTGGATTCCTATTTTAGTCCGATAGATCTAGATAAAAGGAGAAAAAGAAAATTTAGATTTACAGTAGTGTTACTTTGCTATTTCAGAATTTCACTTTTCTGGGACCAGCCTGGATGGCACCTGAGGCTGAGCCAGCTGCAGCAGAAAGATTTATTTCTGGTTGAGGGTGCCTTTCCCTTTGATATGGCAGCCAGAAATTTGCTGAGGTATTCTGTTTCAACCTTCATTTCTCTCATGTACTTGTCTCTGCCTACATCCTCTTGATGAAAGGTGATCATAGCCATATGCCAGCTCTTTGCCTGACTTGGTAGCCCACATCAAAGGTGTTTGTATGGGGGCGGGATGGGGGAGTGAGCATCATCAAGGGTTCTCCAGATAATGTGGACACAGTCACATGGGTGTCTGTCTCCAATCTTTGCCCCTATGAGTTGGGGTAATTGTGTGGCAGTGGGGTGGGCTAGGATGGGGGTGGGAGGATGTTGAAAGCTCTTGTACTTGCTTCTCCTGCAAGGCATAACTTCACAGGTAGGGATTTATAAACTGTCCTGCCCTTCATTAGATATATTCCTGTCTGCATTTACACTGCAGAAATCTCTCAAAGTTTTTGGACATGGATATCTCATTCTCCTAATTTTCACTTGCTTTCCCATTTTTATATTCTATTTTCCATTTCACTAGTCAACTGGGAGGGCAGGAGTTAGACATGATGCTCATATTAATGTTACAGAAAATCAACCATCAACTTATCTTGAGATAAGTTTTCTTTGTCAAGCTCATCTTATACTCAATAAAGGGTTCACTGTTTAAAAATCATAATAAGGTGAAAGATTTATTCGATCTGAAGAGAAACCAGAGTATAAATCTTTTGCCTTATTATGATTTTTAAACATGATAATAAGGCAAAATTTCTTCTGATGCTTTCACATTATGACAAAGCTGTAAATGTGAATCTTTTTCCATTTTTTAAAGTCCTCAAATCTTATTTCTATTGCTTTAGAATCTATTTATGGTCCAGTAATTTCTAAAAATACTTTGCTCTATTAATTTAAAATGATCTAGCATTACTCTATTACAATAGCAATGAAAACTAAGCCAGGTTTTTATATCTATTGAATTTCTCATATTTTCAACTATAGCCCAATCCTCCTATAAAGCTGTTCAGCACCTTAGATAGGTAGTTATATATCGGGGAAATAGAGCCCCTCGATAATGTGAAGCAATCTAAAATGCATACAAAATACTTTCATGGAGATCTCCTTCCAACTGTGCTTAGACAGATGTTGAATATGTTTTCTGTTTTAAACACTGTTGGTGTGGTGTAGTCAACTCTTCCCTGTTTAGCTAAGAATGAAATAATCAGACTTTTAACTTTTCCCTTTTAAATCACTAGAGATAATTGTTTTGTGATGTGGAATTTTTATTTTAGATCATACATTGGTTTATAAGATTCAATCAATTTTTCAACATTTCTTAGTTCTCTTTTTATGAACTTCCACTTAAAGCTTAAAGACTCTGAAATGAGCTTTACTGCTAATTCCTTGTTAAAATCAATTATGTTTAGAATATCTAGAAAGCCATTACAAAACTATCTACAATTGCAAGTACAAAGTCAATAAAAGTGTATGGAAGGACTGGATTGGGTCCTATCCAGTCCTATTTGTGGCTCTAGTAACAGCTGGGAAAATCTCTAGGATTTACTTTAAAAAGTTAGGAAAATTTATGTTCTGACTTCTCCTGAAAAGATAGGGTTTGTATATAGTAACAGAGTAGGCATTCGCCCAAGGATGGGGATGTAAGGCTTTCTGAAGGGAATTATCTCTCAACACTACAAAAAAAAAAACCTCTTGTATTGATCTGCTGATGAATATTTAAATTGTAGCAGCACTTCTTTACTTTTTTGTCTAGTGGACAGATCTTTCCCTTCCTCTTTTCCTCCCTCCTTCTCTTCCCTCCCTCTGTTCTCCTGTGTATGGGTATAATCCGGAAGAGCAAACAGCATTTAGCCAGGCATTAAACAGACTGAATAAACACATTTTGAATTGGATTATTTTGTTTTGTGTTTCTATCTTAAAATAATCCTGGGAGAGCTGAGATGTTAACTCTCAGTCATAGTGATTATTAAAATTTATTGGGCATAAAAATCATCTTGGATGCTTGCTAAAATGCAGATATCCAGGCCCCACCCCTTTGAGACTTTGACACAGGGAATCATTGTTCCACATTGTCTGAAACCACTTGATGATATCTTAGTATGAACTTGTTTTATTACTTTTCTCTGGGGCAAGTTGAGAGTTCCTGGATGGAACCAGGCAAGAACAGGTTAGGTGAGAATGTGAGTTAAACCACTGTCTTTTCTTCCCAGTCTCTGCATGAAGGGATTTGAATAAGAGAGTGAATTTTAGAGTAGATGTTAAAGCAGCTTCCTTTTGCTTCTGCAGTCAAGCATGGGGTAACCAACCACACGTGTGTTAGTAGGTGGCCTTCTTCACTCCACACCCTTAAATCCCGATAGTCAGCGATTCCTCTCCTGGCCCTTCATCGGGGATTTGTAGTCTCTGCCCTGTCTCCATGGCACTGCCACTGACTTTGTCAGTCTTAGCATTGCTGCTAGACTATCACGATGAAGTAACTTGCTTGTGGTGTTGCTCTTCCCTCTATCCCTGGTCCCCTCCAAACTGCTGATGAGTCAGATTTCAAAAAAAGCAGATCTGATTAACTTACTATGCTGCTGAGATTCCTTCTAAGGGTCTTCACTAATTTCAGGATAAAATTAAATGTCTGAGCCCTTTGTGATGTGATGCTTCCACTGACCTCCCGCCATGTTGAACTCGGTCCACATCCCTGGACACAACTCACTCCTCTCCTCCACATCCACAGACTTTGGTTTCTCGTCCTTCTCTTTGCCTGAAGCACCAAAAACTCACCAAAGAAGGCTAACTAATGTCTACTCATTCCCTAGAGTTGTATGTAATTTGGCCTCTAGAATTAAAAATAGTATGACATTAAGAAAATTTCTGTATGAATAAAAACTATGAACTTAAGCAATTTTCAAACCTTTATAGAATTCTACAGTTAGAACAGCAAAGAAATATTGATGCCTTCAGAAAATGTTTAGTGACTATACAAAATATTAACTGTGTACTCTGAGTCCTAGGATTATAAATTATT